TGTCAGTCTTCACAGAAGCAAAGCCCAAACCACACCCACTGCCGTGGAGTCCATTCTGACCCACAGCGCCCCTAGAGGACAGAATGGAACTGCCCCAGAGGGTTTCCAAGGCTGTCAATCTTTACAGAAGCAAAGCCCAAACCACACCCACTGCCACTGATTCCAACCCACAGCACCCCTAGAGGAGAGAGTGGAACTGCCCCACATGGTTTCCAAGGCTGGCATCTTTATGGGAGCAGATCACCAGGTCTTTCTGCCATGGGGCCACAGGTGGGCTTGAACTGCTGACCTCTCAGTTAGCAGTGAGCGCTTAATAGTCACACCACGTATTGATGATATTCATCTAATGCCAAAACTGCTGAAAGAAAACAATCAGGATAATTCATACCTCAGGCTGACCCAGGGCAATAAACAGTGCTCGGATTTCCTTGAGGATTAACACGGACAGCTTGCGGGTGGCAACCTGGAAACTGCACAGCAAGACCAGGGCAAAGCCTTCGACGGCGTGCAGAACGCTGCAGTGCGGGCCCCGTTCGGATGGCATTCGGTGGCTGGATCCATTGGGAATTAGCTGTTGTGGGACAGAACAATATTCTCTACTCAGAAAAGCCACAATGGAAGAAGCAGCTGATGCTCTTCCATAGACACCCTGTAGTGTATGTGACCTAATTTGATGGGTCCAATTACCACAAATCACAGAGCTTAGAACCAGACACGCCTGTGAGTTCAGTATCACACACAAGCTATTCAGGATCCTTCCCATCTTCCTCAGATCAACTGTCACTCTGGAATACCCCCATCTGCTACCTCTGATAAGGAATAACTGTTCAAGGGCTGTTTACCAAAAAAAACCCAAAGTCACTGCCGTCAAATTGGATCTGACTCATAGAGACCCCTCCTTTGGTTTCCAAGGTGGTTATCTCTACAGAAGTAGACTGTCCAATATTCCTTCTGAGGAGTGGCTGGTGGGTTGGAACTGCCAACCTTCTGGTTAGCAGTCAAATGCCTTAGACACTATGCCACGAGAGCTCCTCAAAGGCTGTTTAAGTTGTTATTGTTGTTATTATGTGCCATCGAGTCGGATCTGACTCATAGTGACCCCCCCTTCGGTTCCTGAGGCAGTATCACTACGGAAGTAGAGTGCCCAACCTTCCTTCCAATGAGTTGAGTTCTGTTTAGGTTAATATTAATAAAAACCAAACTGCTTCTCTTCCCACCGTTTGGGGTGATACCATACATACAAAGGGGCTTGATTTGTTTTGCTTAAATTATAGAAAGGCTTTTGGATGCCATTAAATATAATTTTGTTGCTGCTGTTGGATGCTCTCTAGTGGGTTCCGGCTTATAGTGAACCCATGTGTCACAGAGTGAAATTGACCCAGAGGGTTTCCAAGGCTGTAATCTTTACCTTTACGAAGGTGCTCTGGTGGTGTAGTGGATAAGGAATTTGGCAGCTAATTAGAATAGAAGGTTAGCACACCAAGCCTACCAGCTGCTTCGTGGATGGAAGATAGGCCAATCTACTTCCAAAAAAATTTATACCCTTGGAAACTCAATGGGGGTTGGAATCTACCGGATGGCAGTGTTTTTTGTTTTTTTTTTTACATCTTTACAGAAGCAAACCCCAACCAAACCCACTGCCTTGGAGTGGATTCTGACTCACATCGCCCCTAGAGGACAGAGTGGAACTGCCCCACAGGGTCTCCCAGGCTGTCAATCTTCACAGAAGCAAAGCCCAAACCACACCCACTGCCGTGGAGTCGATTCTGACCCACAGCACCACTAGAGGACAGAGTAGAACTGCTCATGGCACTTCCAAGGCTGTCATCTTTTACAGGACCAGACTGCCAGGTCTTTATTCCACACAGCCACTGGGTGGGTTCAAACTGCCAACCTTTTAGTTAGCCGGCCATCGCCTGACTGTGCCAGGAGGGCTCCTTAAATTTGCAGTCATCTATTTTATATTCAAATTTGCTTAACTGCTTGGGTGTCAGATTCTAACCTAGGCTTGGAACATTTATGAGGTGAGTTCTGAAAGTCTCAAATGGCAACCAAGCGAGTTTACAATGCGGACAGAAGCCAGGCGATGAGGCGAGTCCACCTGAACTTCAGATTTTCTCTTCCAAGCATGCTGCACCCCTGCTTTTCAACTTTTCACCATCTGGCATGCCCAGAACACAGAGGAAGAGGGCCTGGCTGCCATTTCTGTGCTCAGCCCACGGGGGATTCTAGTTCTTTCTGGGACACCATCACCTACCCTGAACCCAACAAAGCTTAGACTCCCAGCTACACCCGTCTAGACAGGCCCTTCCGTCATCTGCTCATAGCCGACAGCGAGTCGACGCCGCCCTGCTCTCCAGTGACAACGCTTCCTGCCCAGCCTGCGCTCATCAGGAGCATCTGTGTCATTTCCCGCTCAGGACTGAGGCGTGAATGAGTAGAGACCACATTGCAGCCGAGGGAGAAAACAGGCAGCCAGCCAGCTTTTACACACATCTGCATCCACGTCTACTTCTAGCCCTCTGGCCTATAGGAATTTACTCTTAGGGATAGATTTGCAATCGGAAGTCCCTGAAATCCAGTTCTAGATCATACGTGACATTGTTTGTAGCGACAGATTGGACTTGATGTCAACTTGGACCTGAGTTTCTTAGTCATCTATACGGGTGAAAGAACAAGGGCCGCCACCAGGGAGACAGTCCCGAGGGCCTGCAAGGGACGTGCAAGAATTCTCTGGGGCAGCGACTGCTTCACACCTGCACCATATGAGGGACGAACAGTACGGGAAGAGGAAGCGTCAGGTCACTGCCGTGGGCCCTTGCATCTCCCAACACCTGTGCCGGAACCCTAACCTCTGTGCCTGTGGAGTTATGCAGTTAAATGAAATGTGATGATATGGGGAGTGGAGGGGAATGGAATGGTGTGCAATGGAGCAGAGTGTACCGTGATCACTGTAGTGCAGTACACACGACGTGTAGGAGGTGCAGCGCGCTGTACTGTACTGGAGTGTGATGGACTCGTACAGGGGCTTGTAGTATCACAGACTGTAGCACAGTGAATTGATACAGGATCTAATGTAACGACAGATACTGTGGTGCACTGTACTGTGTGTCAGGGACTACAGCAAACTCCAAGGCAGTATAACGATGTGCAATGTGTTCCACGCCCCTGGAAGCAGTAGTCACATTAGACAACATATTGCACTGGGCAAATCTGGTGCAAAAGACCTCTTTCAAGTGCTGAAGAGCAAAGACGTCTCTTTGAGGACTAACTAAGGTGGGCCTGACACAAGCCATGGTATTTTCAATCACCTCATATGCATGCAAGAGCTGGACAATGAATAAGGAAGACCGAAGAAGAGTTGGTGCTTTTGAGTTGTGGTGCTGGTGAAGAATGCTGAAAGTATCATGGACTGCTAAAAGAACTAACAGATCTGTCCTGGAGGAAGTGCACCCGAAATGCCCTTGGAAGCAAGAATGGCCAGACTTTGTCTCACCTACTTTGGTTATGTTATCAGAAGGGACCATTCCCTGGAGAAGGATGTCATGCTTGGTAAGGTGGAGGGTAGACGAAAGAGGGGGAGGCCCTCAATGAGGTGGACTGACACAGCGGCTGCGACAATGGGCTCAGGTACAACAAGGACTGTGAGGCTGGCCCAGGACCGGGCAGTGTTTCGTCCTGGTGTACATGAGGATGGCTATGAGTTGGAGACAACTCGATGGCGCCCAACAACAACAACAACAATTAAGATAGCGCTGGGCAGTGTAGTGTACCTTACTGTCACGCATGTAATATAATGAAATGAACTGTAGTGCAGCGCAATGTAAGGAGCTCTGGTGGCGCAGTGCCTAAGGCATTTGACTGGTAACTAGAAGGATGGCAGTTCAAACTCACCAGCCACTCCATGAAGGAAGACTGGGCGATCTACCTCCATAAAGATTTACCACCTTGGAAACCGAAAGGGGGTCGCTATGAGTCGGAATCAATTTGATGGCAGTGAGTTTGTGGTTTTTTTGCTTTGAGTGTAGTGTAATACAACGTAATGATCACCTCCCACAAAGCAATCTAATGCAACGTAATTCATCAGTCAGTCAGCTGAGGTCCGACTGGGGTGGGGTGGATTCTAAACCAAATCAATTCTGACTTGTAAACAGAGCAGAAACAGACAGACAGGCGTGCAGAAATGGAGGAAATGCAGACACCACGTGAAGATGGCCTAGAAGCCAAAGAACCAGGACACGCCCAGGGCTACCGACAAGGGAGGGATCGACTGCCAAGAGCCGTTTGGACTTTCAGCCTCCGGTTCCTCAGAGCCGCGTGCGGGTGGCAGCGGTGTGACAACAGCCCCGGGGAACTGAGACGGCCACCTACCTCTGGGTTCCTGATTTTGCCGGCCTGCTCGCAGACCCTCCCGTGGGCCTGGATGGCCAGTCTCCACTGCGTGAGCAGCTGCAGCAGCAGCTTCAGGGACGCGTCGAGCAGCGTATGGTGCATGTCCGTGACTTCACGCAGCAGGAAGTTGGTAAAGCCGAACAGAACGTCTTCTCGCCAGTCTGGGAAGTCAACCAGCAAGCCTTGCAGAGAATTCTGTGCAATGTGACGCAGTTCGTCGTCCATGTGGATGGAGAGCCTGCAAAACGCATGCAAGGTCATCAGATCGCTTTTGGGGACTCTTCTGCTAGCCCATCCCTCTTATTTAACTCACAGGGGCTGCCTGAGGTACAGACACAGGTCTCTGCTTCTACGCTGCCTGAAACGTGTTGTCAGGCTCTGGCAATTCCAGATCACAGCGCCCCTACGTGGCAGAGCACAACTGCCTCACGGCGGCAGGCTGCCATCAGGACGGGAGCAGAATGCCAAACCTTTCTCCTGTGGAGCCGCCAGGGGCTGAGAACTGCCAACCTTTGGGTTAGCAGCCGAGCGCTTAACTGTTGTGCCACCAAGGGTCCTGAATGGAACATGGGGCTACCTTATTTTCTGCTTAGTAAATGATTTATTTGAAAAACGTAAAAAACAACCACAAAAAAAACACTTTGAGTTTCCGATTTACCAAAAAGTTACAAAGTATGCAGAGTTCCTTGTACTCCTCCCCCAGCATGTTAGCATCTCATAGAACTGTGACACACTTACCGAAATGAAAAAACTAACACTGCTGTATATGGTGTAGTGGTTAAAGCATTCAGCTGCTAACCAAAAGGTCGGCGGTTCCAACCCACCAGCCACTTGGTGGGAGAAAGATGAGGCAGTCTGCTTCTGTAAGGACCGACAGCCTAGGAAACCCTCTGATACAGTTCCACTCTGTCCTCTAGGGGCGCTGTGGGTCAGAATCCACTCCACGGCAGTGGGTGTGGTTTGGGCTTTGCTTCTGTGAAGATTGACAGCCTTGGAGACACTATGGTGCAGTTCCACTCTGTCCTCTAG